CCCCATGGATCTCTGGGGCAACTCCCAAGAAGCCGTGCAAATGAGGGGCTGTTCCTTGCTGCTTCCCAGCCAATACACAGGGAGAGAAGTACAATGCAGAAGTAGAAAGACATGCTGTATCCAGCCAATACACAGGGAGAGAAGTACAATACAGAAGTAGAAAGACATACCATATTTTTCCATGTATAAGACTATACTTTTGTCTAAAATCTTTAGACTAAAAAATGAGGGTCGTCTTATACACGGAAGTAAGCTGATGAGAGAAAAAAACAAGTGGAGGGGAAAGCAGGGATCAAAGTGATCCTGCAGGGCTTTGATCCCTTTCCCCCTACACTTGCTAAGCCCCACTTAGATTTCTTAATTTTTGGGTTAGAAAAGTGGGTGAGGGGCCTTATACATGGGGGCGTCTTATACATGGAAAAATATGGTATCTTTTTTGCCTTCTGGCTTCTCCTCCAACTCCTAGAAATCTTCCAGGGCAATTCTAGATGTCTTCTAGATTGTAGAAGTCTTTAAAATGGCAAAAAAAGTCCCACCCTGGTCTCTGAATTCCCAATCCAGCTGGGGGATTCTTGGAGCTGTCATCAAAACAAGACAAGTCGCTTTTCCCCATCTTGTAGGGTCGCATGGAAGTGAAATTCACTGTGTGGTGGCCTTCCTTTTCTCTGCCTCCCCTCAACTCCCACCAACTGGCTTCCAAATTCTAGAAGGCGGAGAGATAAAGCACCTCGCCCTGTCTCTACTTCCTCCATATTACACCGAATAGGTCGCTTTTAGAGGAGGCACCGTTTTCTGCTTTGTTCTACAGTTCCCACAATGCCCTTGGCAGCTAGAGTATGCTGGGAGCTAAGGTCCACAAATACAGATCTATGGACTTTCAGTCTCTATCACATCCTTTGCCCCCTCTAAAAGGTAAAGGTAAAGGTTCCCCTTGACAATTTTTGTCCAGTCGTGTTCGACTCTAGGGGGCAGTGCTCATCCCCGTTTCCAAGCCATAGAGCCAGCGTTTTTGTCCGAAGACAATCTTCCGTGGTCACATGGCCAGTGCGACTTAGACACAGAACGCTGTTACCTTCCCACCGAGGTGGTCCCTATTGATCTACTTGCATTTGCATGCTTTCGAACCGCTAGGTTGGCGGGAGCTGGGACAAGTGCCGGGCGCTCACTCCATCACGTGGATTCGATCTTATGACTGCTTGGTCTTCTGACCCTGCAGCACAGGCTTCTGTGGTTTAGCCCACAGCGCCACCACGTCCCTGTTTTGCCCCCTCTACCACTCCCCATTTCTGATAAACTAGGAAGCCCCGGTTGCTGTAACCTTCCCACACTGAGGACTTGCTCCAGTGGAAAATACATTTAAAGAACAGCAAAATGCCATTAAATATGCTGTTTGTATTGTTGAGGTGCTGAGCCCCAAAAGATATACCATCTACTGGTAGCCAGGGCATAGGAACGATAAAGAAGTTTCCCCAGATGTGATTACACTGTGTTCGCATCATAGATTTGCATTATCGTGAAATTTGTGTAATTTTACCTTCCCACACTGAGGACTTGCTCCAGTGGAAAATACATTTAAAGAACAGCAAAATGCCATTAAATATGCTGTTTGTATTGTTGAGGTGCTGAGCCCCAAAAGATATACCATCTACTGGTAGCCACGGCATAGGAATGATAAAGAAGCTTCCCCAGATTTGATTACACTGCCATTAAAGGTTTCAGAACAACAACATAGATTTGCATTAGAGACGGCAATGAGTCTCAGGGCTGAAATACAGATGTGACCGCCCCTGGGTAGCCAGATGGATGGTCGAAGCTTCCCCAGATTTGATTACACTGCCATTAAAGGTTTCAGAACAACAACATAGATTTGCATTACAGATGGCAATGAGTCTCAGGGCTGCCGGCGGAAACCCTGAAATACAGATGTGACAGCCCGGAATGGCCTTGGGTAGCCAGATGGATGGTCTAAAAAAATCAAATAAATAAATAAATAAAATATGACCTGTGGCAGCCAGGCCGATGAAAAAGAATTTTAAAAATACAATTTGTTGACTCATAGTGATAGACCAGTTCCAGCCTTTCTAGGCAGTTCTTTTGTAAAGCTAATGGGTCTTCATGACTAGTTCAAGACTAAGCCCAAAATGCTTTGCATTGGGAGACACTCCTGTGCTGCAGTACTTACTACCCAGTGACCGTCAGCATTGCAAGTAAGCTCAGAGATAAAAAGGCAAATATCGGAGCAGGGGCCTGTTAGACTTACTGAGCAATAGACCAGTTCCAGCCTTTCTAGGCGGTTCTTTTGTAAAGCTAATGGGTCTTCATGACCAGTTCAAGACTAAGCCCAAAATGGTTTGCATTGGGAGACACTCCTGTGCTGCAGTACTTACTACCCAGTGACCGTCAGCATTGCAAGTAAGCTCAGAGATAAAAAGGCAAATATCGGAGCAGGGGGGTGTTAGACTTACTGATAATCTAGAAGACACACACACACACCCCACTGTTCCTAGCATCATTAGAACGCTATAACAAAGGTTAAGAACCAGTGATCTAAAAGACCCCTCCCCCCCCCCGCTGTTCCTAGCATCATTAGAACGCTAATTATTATACAGTTTCAATTCCCCTTCCTTGGCTAATTGTCCGGACTATGGAATTTGCCTTGTTCACAGCCAGCTGCAGACTGAGCTGATGTTTTCATCAAACTAGCCACTGTAACTAGAAACTATACTCAATTCGAAACTCAGTAGAGCACCTCTGTTTATTTCCTGGTGACCCTTGTCTTCAGTCATCACGTTCTTCAGGTTCAAGTTGGATCCACTGATGGTAATACAGGCGAGGTTTAGAAAGGTTGATGTCAGAAGTTCATGGACAGCACCATAGACAGTGACCTATGGAGCAAGATGCAAGATTATTTATTTAGTGGTTTATAAATTGGTTTATTAGGCAGCATATACCATAGGACCCCCCCTGTATCTTTGGGGTATTGGTTCCAAGCCCTTCTCCTAGGAGCCCCCCTGTATCTGTGGGGGATTGGTTCCAAGCCCTTCTCCCGCAGATGCGGAAATACACAGATTATCCACTATTTTAATAGTGTATGCTAAACAAAGCATGCACCAGCATGGTGCTGTGATGCTGGAGGAGACTCTTGAGAGTTCCCTGGACTGCAAGGAGAACAAACCTATTCATTCTAAAGGAAATCAA